TTTGCTTAACTTAGCTGAACTTTGTATAATGAAAGCCATGCTTCCCCTTTTTCTTGTTCTTGCCTAGTCACAACGACACTGTAATTCCTTATCAAAAGCATTTAAAATTTTGTAAAAGGCAACTGCGTCATTATGATGCAGCTTCGTTGATCTCCTGTTTAACCTTTAGACACCTTACCCCCTTTAATTATGCAATCTCTTTGATATGTGATCACCCGGTAAGAAAACACTTCTTTCCGCCTCCAGGGTCCTGTGTGTTGTTCTTCGACCTCATCTCTGCGCCAACTTTGACAGTTTTGTCCTGGGGAGCTCTAGCTTCCCAGAGCTTCGCCACATTTTCCCTTCCTGTTTTAATTTACTCTGTATAGGTAATAATTTGTTGTGTAGTTAAAATATAAGTACGCATACATGCATACCGAGGTGTTGGTTACACACACAAACTCGTACACACACACACACACACACACACACACACATAGGGCACGTACATTAGTCGAACCATCATCATTTGAGGCTGCGATCCAATTGTGGTGTTTTTTCTGCTCGCCCAGTTATGTATCTAAATATCAAAGAAAGGCGTGAAGCCCCCAGTTTTGTTGTATCTCCCAAATTTGTTGTGAACATCGTCACCGATGCGAACGTGAAGGTAGGTCACTTCCACCAAATTTGAGAAATATATCATGACAATTTACCGCACTTGCTAATAAATCTGTTTTCACCTTTTTCCAAGGCCATTTGTTAGACTGGTAGATTCACTCTTGATACTTGAGTTCGTATATGGCTTAGTCTTTTAGTAAAAGTTCTTCCCAATAATTATTTAAGTAGTCAAAAATGTACTTGTTAGCTGCATCTGTGGCAAGAAGAAACACGACGATGAAACAACAGCTGATCAAAGTTCAGTCGTGTCCATTGTCCGCTTTGCAATAATCTTTTCGGGGATGTAGCTAGAATTCACAGATTCAAGACATTAATGTTGACAAATGTTGTATTCACGTCGTTGTTATCATTCTCTTATCAGTTTATGGTACTCGTGTGTTCATCTTGTTATCGCTTTCTGGCATTTCATATTGCTTGCTTTCTGAGTCTAGCTTAATAAAGTATTTTTGTTTGTGTATGTAATAGCAATAGTACAAGTAATTGCTGTCGGTGATTATCTGCATTTTATCATTTCACTGGTTTTTCAGATAAGAAATACGACCTTATCCCACATGCTGTTAATATACCTTTTTATTGCTTTATATCTTTTCACGGAGCTGTAAGGGATACATACTCAGAACATCGTTTCTTAGCGGAAGTGGTGAGAAAGAGGAGTGCACAAGACGGACAGAACTGATCCCAAGGAATTCTGATTTTAAAGATAGGGGAAGTGGCAAAGTCCAATCCTCTGGAACTGAGGGGCGGCAGAATCACGCTATGGGAAAATTATAGGAGTCGGGCCGGGCGAGCAAACTCAAATAATAATGTTGTGAAACCAAGGAACTTCAGTTTTTTCCCTGTTTCTTGAGTGTACTGCTGTCGTGCAAAAAGATTTCGCCAGTGTGACAAACATTTCTTCGTTGCCAAGAAATCTAACTTGTCATCAGTTTCAAGCGTTCCATTGCACCCACGTGAGAGTAAAATCCGATGAGCGGGACATGTTGCTTGCCTTGTCTACGATCGGTAGACAATGCGCATTAGCGAGTGTACCTAGTTATCGACCACTCGGGGAACCCCCAAGAGGTGGGACATATGCATAAAACAGGCGACTGACTAACTGGAAGTCTGCAGCCTGGAATCGAAAGGCCTGGTATAGCTGTGCTAGGTCTGTGGTTGCATTCTGGTAACATTACTAACAGGGAATCCTATGAAGCATTTGTCCGATGATCATGATATAATAACGGTAGATATTAAGATTTTTATTATTTTGTTTAAGAAGGATCCGGAAGTACTCGGGCTCAGTCACTGGATTTCCTTGTCACTGTAATGTTCTTCATTGGATCCTCATATCGAGTGGTCGGACAGTCTTGATTTCCGCCGTTTACCTTAAAGTCCGTGTTCCTAATCCTGTTCCCTCGATTGCCATTTCATAAATTCTGCTAAATTTTTATAAATTTTGGTATTTTTTTAAAATTCTTACCAAATTTTTTACAGCGTCCGAATTCTTTGGAGCGAAAAGAGCTGACGTTGCTACACATATACTCTTGCAATCAAAACGATTTGTTGTAGACAAAGCGTGAGCGCCTATTCTCCCGCTGTAATGGATACACGTAGCAGCACGTCGCCGCAACCAGTCAAACAAGAAGTGGAAACAAAGTATTTAAAGAGCAATTCCCTCAAAATGCTAATAATCCAAGTCTCAAAAAGCATAGCTTTCCTCGTCAGTGAGTTGGATAAGTTGCTGTCGCTTAACTTGATTCGTCGTACTTGCAGTAAGGTTCAGACGCATTCAGCTTTTATCATAACAGTACTTTACAGGGATAAAATGGGAAATAACTTCCAGAATGTTGAGTTAAGGCATATATGATTTAATGGACCGAAACGACTCTTATCTCATTCTTACCTCCTTATCTTATTTTTCATTGTTATCTTCCAAATTTTCACCATTTAGGTTCCCAGAGTTGACCTGGTTGCTAAATTCTGCTTTAAAAAACGCTACTCAGGCAATCACTAAAACGGCCGGTTCCGATGGTAAATTAGTGTTGGCATATGGCGTGGAATTAGACCCCACTATTAGCTCATTTTTAAATAAATCTTGGGGGAGGGGAGGGGAGTCACCGATAACGGTTTCAGCGGTTGCAGCCTGTTAACACATAATAACCATGCGCTTCTGCCTCACTGAGGTTGAACGAGAAGGAATTTTGATGTTTAAACGTTATGGTACTATGAAATCGTGTGCTCAGAGTATCAAAGTAAATCACTAATGTAAGGGAAGTAATCTCAAATCATTTTCAAATGTAATTTTCCTTTAGGTCTCGAGTAAACTTATCAATGCCAGAGGACACTGACGAGTTGCGCAGGCAATTACAACTGTCACAGAAACGCGAAAATTTGGCTTCTTTACGTTTAACGGTTAAGGAGAAGCAGTTACGAGATTTGATGGTTTGCTTTATCGGTTTTCTAAATTTTTACTTTTCAAGATAACATGTTGCTTCTGATTAAACCATATTTTTTATGATTTGGCTCAGACTGTCGGCGATAAGGCTTTTGATCTCTGCAGAAAAGCTTGGTTTTGTCAAAATTTTACCTCCATGGCATATCTGTTTTCCTCATTACTTATTTCGGTATTGATTTCCTGGCATATGCAAGTATTACCAGTTTACCATCCAAACGATGAACGAACTGGCAGGGTCTAATTCTTGATTTTCCAGCAGCGCTACTTACCACTTTGTCTTACCTACTACTCACTTTCACGAGTAGTGAAATCCTGAAAAAGTTTCTTTTTTAAATTTTTGATTTTTCTTTGGTTTCTTTTTTGAATTTTAGTAATAAAAATGCAGTTTTTGATAGGTCTAAGATATAAAATGGATGTTTTTTCAAAGCATTTTCAGGATGAAAATGAATCGATGAAACGAAATGCAAGTGAGGAAAATAAATCGGACTGCACACTGGTTGATCATGCTGTTGGTGTAATGTTTGCGGCAATGCGTGATGAAATACGTAAAGCTCGAAAAGATGCTCGAATAGCTGCCTTGGAGTTGAGATCCATTAAAAATGGTCCAGAAAGGTTCAACGCTTTTTCGAGTTTCGACCCGTTTCTTTAATTTTATTCAGACTTTTTGATTCATTTTATTAACCCATTTTGATGAATGGTACTTGTAACAAAGAAATTGATTAGTCGAGGCGACTTCGAGACAAAAAAGGGAAGTTTTTTTTTTTTTTGGTTTTTTTGTAAATATTTGCTGTACTTTTTAGTAATGATACGAAATTATTGATAGCTACATGCAAGAAACTTGAGCAAGAAAATGGTGAGCTAAAAGACGAACTAAGTCGAGTCACTCGGCTGGAAACTTTGCTGGCCTATAGCCGAAAAAATGTGGAAGGATTACGAAAAAGATGTAGAGGTTAGATTTATCTCATAAAATACTATTAAAAATAGTTTTTATAATGTGCTTCCATATAATTAACGTGTAATTTCATGTAATTTAATGTGACCTCGTATGATTTTGCATTAAAATCAATAACCCTTTTGTATAAAGCATTTGTTTTTTTTTAAAGGCTTAGGCACCGTTCAATAATCTGCTTTATCTGCCTGTTGTTTTTAATTTTTACCACATGACCAGTCCAGCTGTTCTTCTTGGTATACAATGATTTCATAAAATCGACCGCACTAGACTAGTACTGCAATATTCTTACGGAAAAGCACAATCAGTTTTTTAAACCATTTAAAAACTGCAAAGATCTGCATGCATTATCATCGTATTCTCTAAATTTCATTTTGATTATTTATCTTTTTTTTTATATTTTAATGGCTTTTTAGCTTTTTTAGTCGCGGAATTTCTTTCTCAGTCATGTACCGATTAAATTTGATGGCTAGAGTCGAAGTTTTTTAGGAAAAGCTTGAACAGAAGTGCATATTTGATTTAGATTCTTCTGAATGTGAATTTAAAGCTAAAATACTCTTCCAGATTTTGATGATATTTTGGCGGAACGTGATGAGGAAATTAAACGATTGCAAGTTGAATTGGCTCGTGCGCATGAAGAAAATATGCGGCTGAAGAGGATCGAACCAGTTGTAAATGATCCAGCTTCTGTGGTGCAAGAAAGTAGCAGCGTCCCGGAACAGGATTGGCGTATGTCTTATATATCTCAAATAAAGTCTAAAATTGGCTCGGGTTCAGCGTAAATATGTTTATTAGGAGCAGATACTAGTAGTTCTGAACTGAAGGTACTAGCATAAGTACCACCGACGTCTGCAAGCATCTCAGTAACATCACTAATAGGGGAAGTAAGTCTTCACACCGATTGCGGACGCATGGTTGGAACTCACAAAGTGTCTAAATCGCGAACTCTAGATTTTGGTGTCTTAAAGTAAGCATTGGCGGATATAGAGGCATACTAAGAATTCGATTGAAATCCGAGGTAAAACTTTTGGGGTTTTTTTTT